TATTGGCTGTCGGAGACATGTCTGTGGTTCTGTGGGATCCTTCCATGTAAACAAGCATGTTTCACCGCCAGTAGACTGCCAAAACCCCTCAATTTGTCACTTCCCAAAGTCAGTTAGTGTTTTGCGGCTTGAAAGGTGCTAGCAAAGGTACTTCAAGGGGAAACCTCAGGCAAAGCGAGGCCAGAGATGGAGGAGATGTGGTCGGTGGCTTGCGCTGTTTTGTAGGTGTGCTGAAAGTACAAACCGCCAAGCAGCCTCCAAAAGAAAGCAACACAACCTTCATCTGTTTACACTTCAGACTATATTTTAGCTTGACATATGTTACATTTTAGCGATTAAGAACATTAGGTCGTCATATTACTCCCAGCACAGTAAAACTATTTAACCAATGGTCACTGGCAGGCTCTGTAGATCCATAACTGAACCACAAACCCACCAAGCAGAATATGGTCATGAGAGGTTAATGTGCAAATAACAGAATTTGAATAGTCTAATTTGATCTAACATTTCAAATGCTTTAGCTGCTTCTGTCGTGGTGTCAAAGAGTTGAAGGTGAGTTTGGAGATAACGTAATTCAGCATCACATTATTTTACTAAACTTTTTTAAATGTACTCATTTCATGATGGTCTCAGTGGTTTGCACTTTTAAACGTTAGTAATATAATCTGCATCTTGAATATCTAGTGTAGGTATATGAATATTTCATATTAACAAGCAATGCCTAACATTAACAATTCAACTCTCAAAGCAGAACCTATCTCTGTTTGAACCCATTTGTATTTTTTTAGTACACAGAAATGCATGCAAATGCTAAGAATAATTGGGTGAAATTATGAGGATCAGGCCAAAACACATAAAACACTTTGCCTTTTCCAAAATTAAATCAATGTATACCCACCCTCTGTATGCATTATTTTGTCAATATACAAAAGGGTTAGATAGCTTTTATCAAGTCTTATTTGCATAACACCTTTAAATATTCGCTTAATTCTAAACAACCACTCAAAGATTTATAATCGTCATGTTCATAAACTGAGCCTACAACCTTAAAATAAGATGAGCAACATAATATAAAACATGTAAAAAAGACAGATAGGAAGTCATTAGTATCGAAGTATCTTACAAAAAGGGGTGTCGGATCGAAACATTTTAATTTTATATAGGAACGCATGTAGTTTTTGATAAACCTGAGAAACAAAACCTAAAAAAAAGGTAATCTAAGTCAAAACAAAGTCTGCATTAACCTGTTTCCCTGACCAAACAACCAGTATAACAATAATCCTGTATGATTCTGCCCAGTTACTCTTGCTTTTAATGAGATCAAATCAAGCCTCCAGCCACCAGGCTTCTTTGCCAGCTTTTCAAAATGCTTGAATGCTCATGATATTATGATATATGGTGCATATTGATAGATTTCAGCAGTCCTTGTTGGAAAGCTTAGCTCCAGTGTCAGTGGTTTTGTGGGTGTCGGTACAGAACCAAAAGCTCATGAGAAAACTCCTTCAGACCGGATTGAGTTAACGAAGACGCACAGTTTCCTTTGTCATCTGTGCATATGTGCAGATGTGTACAGCTGCCCCCCCTTCACACACACACGCCCACACACTTCTCCCATTACTTGTCTGTTGTCTTTCCACAGCTCATGTTCGCCAGATGCAGCAAGAAACCGATGAGAGAGGGTGATACATACAGACAGAGAGAGAGAGAGGGAGAGGGAGAGAGAGAGAGAGAGAGAGAGAGCCTGAGGATAAGATTGAAAAAGTAAGAGGAGGGGGGAGAGAGGAGAGGAGTGAGAGGGAGGAGTGTGGATGGAGATGTGTGCGTGTCTGATGATTCACGCCTGCAAGGTGGAGGAGTACAGGGGTCTACTGCAAGTAGGGGAGGAGAAGTGAGGGGGGAGTGCAGATCTCCTTTGGCCAAGCTGAAGAAAACACATGCCGGCCTCCCGCTGATATCTGTGTTAGCCATGAGCCCGGCCCCGACAGGTCTGCTCACTTTCTCTCTCAGTCTTCCCCTCTCCCATCTCTTCACACACTCCTTTTCACACTCACACACACCATTTGCTCTCTGACCTATCCTCCTCTTTCTTTTTTGTGACGACTGTTGCAACCCCTCTGCCTTTCAATCGTCTCTCTTCCTTTTATGTTGTTTGGGCCGCAACCTTATGACTTACTGTACGTGCAGATAATTGAATTAGATCTCAAACAAACACATCCAACTATGTGCAATATGTGCAATATATATATCCCGTTAAAACTCTGCTATATATACACCTGGCTGCTAAATCCTAAGAACTGTTACAGGATGTGTATTTTGAATATTATGTAACTTTAAAAAAAAAAAAAAAGTTTATTATATCATAACTTAGTACTTTTGAATGCATGCAACATATGTAACATATGTAACATTAAGCTGTCTGTGGCTCGTTTTTCTGCTGTAATGTCGTTTCCCCTCTGTGGGACTAATAAAGGTATTCTGAAACAACTTGGTAATTCATTAATTGATTACTTTATCATTTATAAATGATTTAACTTTATTTTGGAAGCAAAATTGTCTGCATTGCAGCTTTTTATTTATTGTCTTTAAGTGGAATCATATTGTTAGGATCTGATCATATGTTGTTATTTTACAAAATACTGAAAAATACAATTTGATCAAAAACAAACTAGAAATGTATTGAATATTAAATACCATACCATTGAAAAACGGGTTAATCCGTTATAGAGCTAAAGTTATTGGCTAATTAATTCAAAATGTAATTTAATAATTTGTTTCTTATCTTCTAAACAAAAAGGCCAAAAATATACTTGTTTTATCTTCTTAACAGTCAAGATTTGATGGGTTTCTCATTCTTCTATGTCATCAAATAAAATATCAGACATACTTTTAACTGCTGATCAAACAAAACCAGACATGGTAATTTATGGTTGTGGTTTTTCTTTTAAATATATTTTCCTATGTAATAGACCAAACTAATAATCAACAGATTAGTAGTAAGGAGTCACTCTAATCAGGTTACCTGTCATTTAACATATCGGAATATATTGTGTGTTAATATTAGAAATAAATGATTGATTCCAATCACATCTACAAGCTCCAATACTGAATATTTCCAAAGTGTTTCTTGTGTCATGTGACATTTGTCTCATGTGTCGACCGACCTTGCAACTTTACCTGAAATGTTGTCCCCCCTTCTATACAGCCTTTGACAGGGCACAAGGTCAACACTGAACACAGAAAAAGCCCAGGAGCCTCCTGGAGATATCTGGAGAATGCCGAACATGGCCGGCAAATGAAGACACAGCTGCGCTCGTCGAGAGCTCTGAGTCTCTCAGGAACGTAGAGTTATGAGACCACTCACACACGACTCTGTTTGCTTAGTCTCTGACACGGAAAGACAACCAACACGAGAGATGGGAAGAGAAAGAGAAAGAATGAAAGAAAGGAAAGGGAAGAGGGGGTGAGAACAGAGGGGCCAGGCAAAAGACTGATAGGAAGGTAGAGACATCAAGACGGATCCCATAAAGAAAGAGTAATACCATAAAGATATTGGAAGCGCATTGCTGTTACTGGAATGTTAAAACTGCCTGCAGGACACAGTGCAGAGCAGCCTGGACTCACAACAGGAGAAACTCAAACATTTGGAAATAGGTTGCCATTAGAAACAACATTTACAAATACTAGGTTGTCTGGCTTTTCTTTCTGGTAATTGCAAACATTTGTTTTGTTAAAGAATGCAAAACACAGTCCTGTTCCAAATTACAAAAATATGCATTTTGACAATATTTTCCCCCAAATTTCTAAATATTCAGCTTAGATTTTCTAATTAAGCCAAATCAATGTATGTTTTTAATGTAAAGCTTTTCCTTTCTGGGGTCAATCACAGTCTTTCATAAGATTTCAGACCTCATCATGCAGCCTCTCTTAGAAATTATGTTGTGTTTTTCCAATGGGTGTGCCTCACTTGGACACAAAGAGGGTACAAACATGTGCTCATATCCCCACAATTTTTATAGATTTTACAGTTCTGTTTTGAGAGTTTTCAAATTTAGTTTCTGACAAAGAAATGTTAGATTGAACAAGTAAATGTTGCTATTTTACTTTACTAAAAGGACTGAAATGATTAATTGATCATCAAAATAGTTACCGATTGATTTTCTGCCATGCATCCAGTAATCAATTCCCCAACTCATCGCTGCAGCCCACATGAAAGGAGTGGTTCCATAAAAGGCATTAAACACATTCAACACTAGTAGGCTTAGCAAAACATACATGGATTGTAGCAAATGGACTGAAACATGCTGAAACACTGGTAGGACACACACAAGGTGTCATTGCTCCTTGGTGGCCCACTGATGTCAATCTCAAGATACACACACACACACACACACACACACACACACACACACACACACACACACACACACACACACACACACACACACACACACACACACACACAACTGTGTGTGTGTGTGTGTGTGTGTGTGTGTGTGTGTGTGTGTGTGTGTGTGTGTGTGTGTGTGTGTGTGTGTGTGTGTGTGTGTGTGTGTGTGTATCTTGAGANAACACGAGAGCGGTACCCGCAGTGATGCACAAAAGCTGCCACTGCCTAAAACAAGCTGCATTTCATACATCAAACTTATGATACAAGTGATTTGCAGCCAGAGCTGCATAGTGAATTCATTTAAAGGTGTGGTTAGTAGCGTTGAGAGAAACTCGGCTCGAGATACACTTTTGGTGTTATATTCCATGGAATGCTCTCTTAACATCCCGATAGCATCTGAATATCTTAAGTGCTTTGACAAAAATCCATAAATAAATGTCATCTGTGGAAGCCGTAGCGCTGTAAAAAGCACGACCAATCATTTTAGCCGGCCCGGCTAAAATAACTGGATGGCCTACCTGCCTGTCAGCCTTCCATCTGTGCACAAACTTATCTCGTGCCCTCATTGGTCATGTGCGCGTTCGTGTGTGTTGGAGGAGGGGCTCTGTAAGGAAGTGGCAGATTTTTTCCGGCTGTGTATTTTCAAATTCTAGCACACTCGAGCTGGTTTCTCCAAAATTACCTACCCTGTCTAAAAAGAATACATTGTTAAATCTGTTCCTTTGGATAATAAGAACCTGTTTTTATTTTCTGCACAAACTGCTTTTAGTGTTTTAGCCTATTTGTGCTGGGAGCTGATGATGGGGCAGCTTTTGTTGGTGTCTGCTGCTTCAGCTGCTAGTACTATTTTATCGACAATCATCTATTCATAGAATATTTATTCAGTTTTTATTGCAAATTGTCGACATCCTTGTATTTGTATGGTCAACAAAGTTCTCGGTCGGATGCGGTTGCAAGGTGTTACAATAACAAAATGATCCAGATTGTTTGCTGGACTATCCTTTGTTTTTTCTGATATTGTTTTAATCAGAGCTATTATTCACTTTATTGTCAAATTAAGAAAGGAAACTTTGCTTGTTTGTTTTCTAAATGCATCAATGTTTTGACTTGTATCTAATAACTTTTCAAAGTGAATCATATTCCTACAATCAACACATTCAGCACAATTATACTGTAAAACATTTAATTTTAAATAAATTGTATTGCACTGTTTCTAAAATGGTGTGGTTGTAATGTTTTTTGTACAATTCTGCAATGTATGTTTTAGTCAGCTTGGACTGACATTTCCTGGAAGGCACATGTTGCACAAATGTGCCTTTTTCTGACTTTGCCCCTGTCTTACTGTTTTATTATCTCTGATGTATAGAGAGATTAACAGCTCTGGCAGGAAATGAAGCATTTCTGTTAAAGTGACAAACTGAAGACAGTGTGTCAGAGCTAAAGCCAAGAAAGCCTTATTTTAAAATTATTTAAAATGTCTGCAGTTGAAAATTTGAGAAAGGTTATCAACGAGCGACTGAATGCTGCTGTGGAGGAAATATTAGGAGTTTGTGAGCACACTATAGTTGCGTACGAGGAGAAGATCGTCCGTCAACGCAGATTGCTGGATTTCCTTTTGAAGCCTGACATAAAGCTACACAGGATAGGTATGTCACTGAGGTCCTTTTGTATTTTTTACATAATTGTAACTTGCATTAAGCCAAATAAACGTTACAATTCTGACATTTGTATGTTGAACCACGCCTACCGGGTTTAGTTACCGTTGCAGGTTCTTCCTGTTATTCTTATATTCAATAACATATTGAGTGTGGGTTTTATTTAATTCTATGCTGACTTGCCAGACACAAATCTGAATGACTGTTTTATAAATCTGTTTTAATTGTTACACAAATATCCATAAACATTAGAAATAAAAGTAAATATCAAGATTTCACTTTGGCTTATTCAGTAGAAAGGTATTAACAAGAAAAATATACTTAAGTACCCTCCTTTTTAGACAGAATGGTCCCTTTCAGAGAGGTAGATTAGCATAAATATACATAAATGTTATTACTTATTTATTGTTTCAGCTGGTTAACTACAATGTTGGACATATAAATGGATCATATCTTTCTTTATAAAATCGTAATCCTAAAAGTAACTAATTACTCCACTTAACTCAAAGTATGAAGTATAGAATAATAAGGAAAGGAAAGCAAAAAATGAAATATAAATCTGGAGTATGAGAGCAATCCGTATAAAGCTCTGTACCGCCAAAAAGTCAGATATACTCCTCTCAGTCAAAATAAAAATAATAATAATAGCACCAGCCATAGTTCTCAGAGGATAACTTAAGATAAAGTGAAGCTTTGATTGAATTCTGCTTATTGTGTTGAGCTGACCACAGGCTAGGCCTACTGGGACTAAATATACTATCAGAGTAGTTAAATACTTAGTCATAGGTTAACCAACAGTTAATTCATATCTTAAAGCTACACAGGGGTGAAAACGATCCCTAATGTTTCTTATTTTGTCCCCCAGAGCTCAAACAGCAACTTGTCTGTAAGCAGGAGGAGAATGAAGTGCTTCTTGATCAGCATCTCTGTATTGAGAAGAGGAACTCCATTTTGGATCAAGAGCCTGCAAAGATTAAAGAAGAACAGGAGGAACTGTGCACCATGGAGGGAGAGCAGCTCGTACTGAAGCAGGAGAATGCAGCAGAGGAACATCCCATTGACAAAATTCGTATTGTGTGGGTGAGATCTGAATCTGACAGGAATAACTCTGTTGTATCAGAGCAGAGAAGTGACAAACAGCTCCTCCCCAACACCTCTCAAGTAACAGATAATCAAGACCACAGAAGAAAAGACCATGGAAACGAAACACAAAAAACAAATACAACACCAAAACCTAAGCAGCAGAAAGGTGCATCCATTACAAAAATGGCAAATAGTTGCGGAAACACATTGTCAACTACAAATTCTGAGCCAAAACCAAAGAAGAAACATAATGCAGAGAAAGCATCAAGTACATGTTCTGAGCCAAAACCAAAGAAGAAACATAATGCAGAGAAAGCATCAAGTACATGTTCTGAGCCAAAACCAAAGAAGAAACATAATGCAGAGAAAGCATCAAGTACATGTTCTGAGCCAAAACCAAAGAAGAAACCTGATGCAGGGAAAGCATCAAGTACATGTTCTGAGTCTAAACCAAAGAAGAAACCTGATGGAGAGAAAGCATCAAGTACACATTATGAGCCAAAACCAAAGCAGAAACCTGATGCAGGGAAAGCATCAAGTACATGTTATGAGCCAAAACCAAAGAATAGAAATAATGAAGAGAAAGCACCACATTCTGAGCCAAAACCAAAGAAAACAAATAAACATAGTGATGGAAGATCACCTGCAATTATTGAGCCAAAGCCAACAAATAAATGTAACAAGGTCCATCCCACATTGACCACAAATCATGCCCCAACAACTCAAGATAAACATTACAAAGGGAACACAACATCAGCAGACACTACTGAGCTAAATCCCCAGAACAAACCTTGCAAGTGCGACGAATGCGGCAAAGCATTTTCTCATTTCCGTGACTTAAAAGTTCACATGAGAATTCACACGGGGGAAAGGCCTTTTGAATGCAGCTACTGTGCAAGGAAGTTCGTCCAGAGTTCTGCTTTGAGACGACATGTAAAAACTCACACTGGAGAAAAGCCCTTCCAATGCAAATCATGTGGGAGAAAGTTTGCCCAGATGTCTTCGGTAACCAAGCACATGAGAACTCACACAGGGGAGAAGCCCTTTCTTTGCATCACCTGTGGAAGAGGATTCAGCTGCAAAGTCAATATGCAGAAGCACATGAGGATTCACACAGGTGAGAAGCCCTACACCTGCAGCGCCTGCTGGAAGGACTTTGCAGACTACTCATCGCTGAAATGTCACACTCGACTGCACACAGGGGAGAAGCCTTATCAATGCCCTCAATGTAAGAAAAGATTCACAGTCAGCACAACTTTGAAAAAGCACATAAGAACCCACACAGGTGAAAGGCCATATAAGTGCAACACTTGTGGAAACAGTTATTTTCAAAGAATACACTTGAAATTACACCTCAGGGTTCACACAGGTGAGAACCCGGACAAATGCAGCGTCTGTGGAAAACAGTGCAGAAGCGGAGCAAAGCTGAAAATTCACATGAGGATTCATACTGATGACGCTCCGAGCAGCAGTTCTGTAAAGTTGTAAATGCATATCATGAAAATAGTCGTCATTATGTAACAAAAGCGCTTTTTTTAGATCTTATAAAAAGTATTCTCCTCATGGCCTTAAAGAAAATTGGCCCTTGAAATAGTGTTGGAGCTGTTTGAGTTCACAGGCCCCTGAACCACACATATGTGATATTGACAAGGAGTGAATGGGAAATGTGTGAAATGGATAAAAAATGTTTTGGCCTAGAATCAGCTGCTCCCCTAAGTATTACAGGATTTTAATAACCCTCTATGATCAACAGATTACTCAAAATGCCTCTGTAGCTGTAGAAAACAACTCATGGTCCCATTCTGCCATCATGTGGTCCTTTATATATTTGCAACATTTCATTTACATATATATTTTTATTTGCTTTCCGGGGATATTCGGTGTGGTGGGTTGTGTGTTATTTGCAAATTGCTTGTAGATTTGTATGCTGTCAATATCCGCTTGTATTGCTATCCCTCTGCAACATTTCCATTGGTATCTATGTTTTTTTTTTAGTGACTACTCTTTTTTGTTTGGTGTTTTTGGTGTGTTTGCATTAAAATTATATTATGTGTCTTAATGTATTTGTCTTGTATTCACTTACATTGTATGGTTAGATAATCTTTATTGTAAAAGTTGATAGACAGGTTGCACATCTGTCAATGTTAAAGAGAAACCTTTTAGTTAAATCAGAAATTACCCAATTCTGCTATCTAGTGGGCATGTATAAACTTGCACCATTAAAGGCTATTTTAAAGCCTTTTCTCGCCAACTTTCTACTCTTATTAACCCCCAGATATTGCATTCAGGTTCAGATATATAACAGGAGCGGGAATTAAACCTGAGTATATAAAGTGTGCTTCACCCTACAACTTACCACCTGAGTGAACTCAAACATACCCAAATAAGGTAAGATTTCATTGCATCCACTATTACCTTTGTATGCACACACGATTATCTCTTCATAACCAAAGGCTCACTAAACATATTATTTTAGAGCACAGCTTGCTGTCAGATATCGAAATGAAGTGTATGTATATAGTTCTAGATTAATGTGGTAAACAGTGTGATAAACTGATAATACATTGTTTAAAATGGAAGAAAATTGCAGAAGCACTGTCTCTGTGTGTCTGTCGGACCACCCACCTACGCCTTTGTACTGTACATGTATCAGTCTGTGCTGCAGTGGTTAATCAGTGGGTCGTGGCTCCAGAGCTGCAGTGGCTCCAGTGTCATTGTGGAGCATTAGCAGCTCACAGGTTGGTTCATAAATCATCTAGATTATGTTTGCACAGCTGTTGCAACCCTCCACTCTCCTAACCCCAGCCTCGGACACTGTATCAGTTTCAAACAGGCAAATATTTGTAATCATCTTGGAGGACTTGTATTACTTAGTTTCCCTATGTGATTGATGGAGTATCTGTGAGTAGCCCTTTGGGGGGCAACTGAAAAACAGTAGGCCTTACAAAATAAAGTAGGCTTCATTGAAATGCTCCCTTCTGTGCTGTACCAAAGAAAACCCTAATGGTTAAAAGTTATACTTAGCTAGTTTGATCATTTTACTCGACTTTATTAACTGCGCTCAGTCACCCATACAAGTTATGTTCTTATCTTTTTGGTTTATAATTATAATTGTTTTTTATCTGAGGTGGGAAGTAATTAAGTACTACATTTACTCAAGTACTGTACTTAAGTACAATACTGAGGTACTTGTACTTTACTCGAGTATTTCCATTTTATGCTACTTTGTTCTTCTACTCCACTACAATTCAGAGGTATGTTGTGTACTTTTATCCACTACATATTAAATACCTTTACAGATTTGGATTATAATCAACACTTAAATCAGACTTTAGTTAAACCTGGAGTAAATTCACAAGCAATGCAGTATACAGTCATTAAAACTAGCTGCACCTTTACCAGCTTTGATAACACTTTAATGCATCAATAATCATAATCAAAACAAATCATATATTATTCGGAAATTGAGTACTTTTGGTACGTTAAGTTTATTTTGATGCCAATACTTTTCTCCCTTTACTTGAGTAACATTTTAATGCAGGATTTGTACTTGTAACAGAGTATTCATATACTGTGGCACTTCTACTTTTAATCAAGTACAAGATCTGGGTAGCCTACTTCTCCAACCTCTGGTTTTTATCCCATCAAAAATGAATGACTCCTGCGATCACATGAAAATCTTTATTGAATGCTACCTAAATCGAACGCACCCTTTCACCTGTCCTGTGCATGGCGGCCTATTTGAGCCTGCATGGACACATACAATGCTGATAAAGGACTCTTATCGCGTCGCTGCTGCTTCATAATTGCACGTTTGCAAACTTTCTTTTGATAGTAAGTAGCGTTTAATTATCAGTTTGACTATCAACAACCCGATTCTGTTGAAGATATGTGGAGAATTCACTTATTTCACCATGTTTTCTGCTCTGTTTGTTAGCTATGCATCGGGTAAGCCGCACAGGTGTAGCCTACTTCAAACCGGAAGAGCTGCTTGGACCTCTTTCCTTCCTGATGAGAATATTCCAATTTCTTAAAGGTAGTAATTTGCTGATTGTTGGGCCAAGTCAGTCACTCAGTTATTGTTGCATGGCAATCGCCTTTCTTTACTATGTGGCTGCTGTTAATTGTATATGATGGCTTCAAGTAGGCTATTGCTCTGCTCAGATTTGCTTATGTTTCATTTCGAGGCCTTTTTCCGTTGGCTGCTACTTTCTGCTTTTATTTGTGTGTTGCGTTTTAATTTGAAGTGTATCTATTTATACTTAATTATTTGCTTGTGTCTAAGAATGATTTGTATGAGGTTCGGGCCTGTGTGAATTGTTCATGCTATTGCTTTACATCAGGGATGGGCAAATGGCGGCCCGGGGGTAGTAGCCTACTGACTGATACTGTCCACTACTCCTATTTACGTCGCGAGCTGCCGAAATAATCTGGGACGCGTTTGTGTGTATTGTGTTTGTTTCCCGGGGAAAACACTCACAAGAAACACCGGCTGTTGTTGCCTGCTGTGTCACGTACCGGTTGTAATTATGCTTTTACAAGCTTAAAAGTTGTATTTATCATCTGAATTTGGCAAAACAAGTTTAATATTCTAAGAACCAAGGCTTTGTTTATTTGAAATCAGATGAAAACAAACTGTCACAGACCCTGCCGTGTTATCTAAGATTACTATACGGTTTTCATTCATAATTTCAGCGGGAGGGAGGAGGAGCGGCGCTGAGGAACTGAGGTTACCTCCTGTAACCACAGTTTCTATGAGTAAATGGCGCAGCCCTCTAAGGCTATCGCTATTGGGTAATCCCCCTGCGCCCCCGCGCAGCACTGAAACACTTGTAGTCCACGCCCACCCGCAAGGTGGGCCCCACCCTCGGGCCTCCTTCCGGAATAAATAGGAAGGAGGCCCGGCAATCTGCTCCCATACCAAATAACTTTTCTTCAGCTATTCGTAGAGCCAGTGGGGCCCAGCGCTTAGAGGGCTGCGCCATTTACTCATAGAAGCTGGGGTTACAGTAGGTAACCTTGGTTCTATTTCGTATATGGCTTCGCCCTCTAAGGCTATCGCTATTGGGTTAAGGGCGAAGCATGATGTAGTCTGCGCCCCACTGGGTCCGCCCGGCACTAGAAGCACAGACACACCTGCTCAATAACACCCCATGCCTGTTGTGCCATGCGTAATGGCGCATCACCGTCCCTGGAACATAGCAAAACATGCCTATCTTCCCTGACGGGGTGAAGGCTGGGAACAATACATACCCAGCCACTGTGAGAAAGTAGAGACGAAGGTCCCACCTTGCCCAGCGATCATAGAAGGGGAACAGCAGCTCTCTGCGTGTCAGACAGGTAGGATAGCGCCCAGCTGGATCCCTGACGTCACTCACTCTGACCAGGCACTACGTACAAAGTGTGTCAGAGGAAAAAGGAACATCCCTCCTATAAGAGGGAAAAAGGGGCCGCTCTCCGCGTGCCGAGAGGCAGGAGAGAGGCGCACAGCTGGATCCCTGACGTCACTCACTCTGACAAGACACCCAGTACAGGGTGTGTCAGAGAGGAATGGGAGACCTTCCTCAAATACAATTGAATAAATGAACAGGGGGAAGTCCAAGATGCAGCAGTGCAAATGTCTTCTACTGACATTCCTCCGTGCAAAGCCGCGGAGGAGGACATTCCTCTGGTGGAGTGCGCATTGATGTTCTCCGGGAGATCCACCCCAGAGGAGACATAAGCCTGTGACACAGCTTCACACAGCCAGTGTGACAGCCGTTGTGCAGACAGAGGCTGCCCCTCTATGCGATAGCCGGCGGTGGATTGTAACCGGTTTACAAAAAATAATGTCGCCATTGGCCGGCTGTCCGCGGCCCGGGTTTTTTTGTGTGAGAAAAGTTTACTTTTCTTTTTCAATGGCCTCCTTAATTTCCTCTGCACTCGTCCCGACTCGTACTCTTCTTCTCGCCTCCTCTTCAAAAGTCGGTCGAACTAGCCTGGAAACCGAAGACACACGCCCGACCGTCACTACGCACCGCGGATTTTTGGGAAAAAGTAACTCTAGGATGAGCGTAGATCTAAATAACTAAAGCCTTGCTAATATTTGTCAACCTCACCATCTGTACACCTCTAATAGTAAAGACCTTGTTTTGCACGGTAAATACGATGTCCACGAAAGAGGTGGTCTGGGAATAAAGGTCGATAAAAGGTTTTGGAAAAAAACTCTTTAGGGTAACGAAAAAAACAAGCCTCCCCTTGGTTCGCGTCCGAATGAAGGACCCAAAATCTGCGCAGTGACCGGCGTGGAGAGTTATACTAACGGTTATATTTGTTACCAGAAGACAGCCGAACACAGTGTAGTTACTGCGGCTGGATACGACGTGTTCATTCACGCTTCTCATCTGTTTATATTTTCGCACTAACCGTTTTACCAGGGTCGCAAATAACCTAATTACCTTTCCGCAGTTAGTCCTAGGTAATGTATCGCTGAATGTACAGATGAGGATTACCTGTCCCTTCCGGCCTTCGACGCTACCATAGTGTTATTATTTGAGTATCTATTATCGTCTGAAATAACAATTGTTACGTGGTGTCATAGCTAATAAAATTACATTTGGTTTAATACTTGTTATAACTCGTCTTTTACCCTCCTTTCTTAGACTAATAAGTTTACAAACATCATGTCATCATTTACATCAAAAACACGTGTATTTAAGATAAACGTTGGTTCTTGCCACGCCAATTTAAAAGAAGTAATAATCCAGCTAAAAAAAGAACCTGCTTACGAGGCCCGGTAACCAATGTTAACCACCCCCGGTCCACCTATTATATTTACGGTCACCGGCTAAACATGTACGTAAAGATGGGAAGTTCAGCAGATGGAGACGCCAATCAGCTGATCCGTGGCGCGCCACCCGCCGCCATGCCTTCACCCGGGCTAGCTCTCAGGGCCAGGCGAACTAAACACTCAGGGTCAGGCCGGGGACGACGTACTCTCTCAACACCCAAAGAAAAAAAGAGACCTGCT